CGTGCTTGACAAACAACCTGATAAAAGTTAGCGACACCACTGGTTTAAGGCCGCGTCAGTGAACGAGTTAAAATTTCCAAATATTTGATTACTTGATTATATGAAATTATTAATTTCTGAGTGTAAAGAATTACCGATGTATGTATGAACCAGAAGTTAGGGTATAATTTTTTTGAAATTTTAGGGACCGCCAAATTTTGCATCAGTTAAGGTCGCAAAACAATTCTTTTTTTTCCAAATAAACTCATCCCAAACAATTTATATTATTGTTATAATTTAGTAATTATATTAATAATAAATGCAAATAACAGTTTAATTTTAAATATTTTAAAAACATTTTTGCATCCTCTTCAATATATAATACCTTGTTAAACGCATTTGAAGCGTTTTATTAATTTATTGCGATGTTTTACTTGCCTACCAAGATCAATATAAAGTACCTAATAAATTGATTTAAAAATTGAACTAAATACCCTAACAAATATAATCTACACCACACAAACACTTACATGCTAAAAGGTTAGCTGAAGCCCTTATAAATAGTCCTAAGCAATTCCGATCAGATCACCACGGCAGTAGATGAACCTAGAGCTAAACAAACTTATATTAATTGAGGCCCACATGTTATTCTGTATGATTACGGTTTTAAGATACTTATTTATATATTTTTGAGTGGAAATTTGAGTCTACCTGAACAAAGAGCGGGATTCCAGTGAAGATGGATTCTTCCCAGATTCCCCCCCCCCAATAAGGTCTGGAAGAGATCACCAAAGCACCGACAAGCCAAGGACTATGAACATCAGGACCTGGGGTGCACCCCCAAATTCGATAACCTATTTAAAAATTAAGTGCGATGACCGCCTTCCTTCTACCTGAGTAGCTTGGTAGCGGTGGAGATATTGTATTTGTAGTTTATTTCATTTTTTTTATACGCTTTAACAATATGGTAGCGATGAGATGCTTTAAATTAATGTAGGTATCTAGTTAAAACATACACATTCAACTTTGGGACAAGAACGTTTAAGCATCTTATTGAAGACGCAAAAATTTATATATATGCGTGATTTAATAACATTCATTTTTAACTATATGTCGTAGCTATAGAAAACCTTAATTTATATTATAACCTAGACATGTACATGCTTGAATACGATTCTGACAAAATCAGTTCAAAATTAAAAAACGCACGCTATTAAGTAATTTAAGTTTTAAGATACGCGATTACCTTGATAAAGTCCTGCGACATATAAGTTTTTATACCAATTTTTAAAATATAAATTTTCTCCTGTCAGCCCTACATTATCTTTTTTATATTTACCCTGTAAGTAAGCAATACAATTTTTAATATTTTTATTTCTACATTATAATGCATAACACAAAATTTTGAAAATAATGTTTATATTAATTAATAATTATATTTAACTTCATGATAATATTAAAAAAAAATTATGCTGAGATATTGTTACTTAAGTAAAAAATTATGCTGAGATATTGTTACATATGTAAAAAAAAATTTAGAGATTATTTTTTTAAGCACGCCCTTTTTAAAAGTTAAATGACGCGTCTGAACCAAAGTTATTCCTACAAATTTTAAACGAAGGACTTAACATAAAATAATCTAGATCAACAGAATTAAGATTTTTAGGAAAAGAAAAGTGGTACGTGAGGTTTTAAATAAAGGATTTACTGAAAGGCCATATAAACTGAAATTTAACAGGTCTCAAGGCGTAGATTTATGATAAATTAACAGGCTCATGAACGTTGGGTATTCATTATGTTGCTAAAGGAAACTTTTCAAATGAATTTATATATCTATTCTATACCTATATACATAGCAAAAAAGATATCTACCGAGACAGATACACTTTTAAAAATGTATATATAAATACTAGCGGTGTACCGATACCACTTTTTGGAGGCCGATCCTATCCGATATTCCCAATATTAAATTGATATAGGTTGATTACCGATCCGATATCATATCTAATTTTATATTCTACAAAGATACCATTGGTTTTAATTTTTAATATACTTTTTATTAGGATAACATCTATAATTTAACTATACCATAACATATGTCATTTAAATATATTATAATGATCAGTTATAGTTTATATTCAATTCGGTTGCAATCCTAAAAGTATATAAAATATTTTTATTGATAAATCACTTATTTATATAATCACCGTAATCAAGAAATGAATGTTTTCGTATATCCAATGTTAATTTTTATTTTTCTTATCAACTTTCCTATCTTCTTAATGTTAAATAAATCGATGGAGACTATAACTCTCTAATGTTAAATTTTAAGAAAATTTTTTGTACATAACGGGATTCGAACCCATGACTTAACGTTTTAAAGGCAAACGTTCTTCCCACTCAGCCACCTTCTATATTAAATTTTGTAATATAATCTTTCTTATATATGTTATTGTTATGCAATTTTATTTTTATTGGCTTATTAATCTTTATTTTTATTGGCTTATTAACTCTTATTTTATTGGTTTATAGTTATTTGTATTATTTAATTTTAAAAGAAACCATTTTTTATTTTAATTAAAAAAATCGTAACGAAATGATTACAACAGGACATAATAGTACATCTGCCAAGGCCCCAAAATATAGGAGACAGTAATTAAAAAGATGTTTAATTTTTATAGATATTATTACAGAATAACACCACCAGGTTGGCACAAGATTTAAATCATGTTTGAGCTTACCTCTGGTTATCAGAAAATAATTTTAAAGTCTCAACTGACCCATACTCAATCTGCATTTCACATGTTGATATTAATAACGAAATGATTACAACAGGACATAATAGTATATCTGCCAAAGGCCCCAGCATATAAGAGACAGTAATTAAACAGATGTTTAATTATTTTCTTTATTAACTAAGCAAACTTTATTTATTTATTTGAGATTCTTAAGATACAGAATATTTAAAAATGTAGGTAGATATTGATAAATTGGTATTGTATGTCATTTCCAGAGTTCAAATATTGTTTGAGAATACTGGCATATTTTGGGGTGGTAATATGAGATAAATGTTTATTTTTCAATTGGCTAAATATAATTTAAATTTATTTGTTAAATCTAATTTATAATAAGTACTTAGGATTAGTGAGGAAGGTTAATTTTCTGGCATGGGAAGATATTGATAAATAGGTATTTTAAACTATTTGCAAAGTTCCCTTATTGTGGTTGAGATAAAATAAAATTTTTACTACCATATTTTGCAATGGTGAACGTATATTTTTCATAAAATCTTTATGTAAGGAGTTAATGTTTTACAGCGACATGCTTTTGATCAGGTTATCCTGGCTATTGCCGATACCTCAATTACTACCAGATTTTTCTATGATGCTCCTGGTGGATCAGGTAAGACGACATATCTTTATAATACTCTACTACACTATCTTAGAGGACAACAAAAAAATGTCTTACCCTTTGCTACCACAGGAATATCCTCCATACTTCTAACCTGTGTAGATTGTCCTGGGTTCAATTGCAACGATTTTAATCTTCCATCTCCTGAATCTATCACTCAATCTAATTTATATGACCCAATAATAGAAGCAGATGTCGCAATGGTAATGTTAGCCAATCTAAATGTTTTACAGCGACATGCGTTTGATCAGGTTATCCAGGCTATTACCGATACCTTAATTACTACCAGCTATTTTTATATAGATAATGGAAAAAAGAAATACTTTCAATCTCCTTATTTAATATAATTTACTTCCAAATTTTAGAAAATTCACTGAATGTTCTCAAAAAAAATTTTCCTGTAATAGTTCATGATTTTTTTATTCCCGTCATTCTTGATGATCAACTAGTAAGTAATAATATTAATCTATTTACATAATAAGTCAAACATATTAAATTTGAAATAAATATTTAAATTAATATTTGAAATAAATATTTAAATTAATATTTGAAATAAATATTTAAATTAATATTTAAAATTAAATATCGGAGATTTCTTTTTAGAAATATCAAAATTTCCAATTTATCAGAGGAGCCTGTGTATTTATTTATATTATACATAAATATATTCCATTCCAATCAATATTAAATAAAGCAAAGGATTATTTTAAAATGAATTATCGCACACTTTTATAAACAGAATGCGCAAAAAAATAACAATATGGCAGAATGTTTATTAATTATTAGTATTAAAAAAATAAACATAAAAATGGATTTCGATTTTATTTATAAAAATAAATTGTTTTTAGATATAACTTTAAAAAAAAAATTTATAATTTCATTTTGTCAAAAACGCCATTTTTTTCTGATAGGAAAATTTTATAATATTGGCCGATGACCGATATTTTAAAATGGGTGAAATATCGACCCGATCCGATCCAATAAAAAATATCAGTTACATCCCTAATAGATATAACTATTTTCACGATACATTTTCTACAAATTTTATTATATAACTTTTATGTCATTTTGGAAAATTCTACCAAGCAAATGTTTGTCGAATTATAATTACATTGGTATTTTTAATCATCTCGGTAAAATAGGGATTATCAACTAATTGAAAATGGTTTAACCCATTAATGGTCAATGTTACATATATGTCAGTGATTTTTTACATATTATTTTGTTGAGTTGAAATAGCTTAAAATATTTTTTTATAGTTTAGAGATTCTACTATATAACGTCACAAAATTTTTCCTTTATTAAATTTCGTCAATTTTAGAAATGTTCTAAACTCAATCATTGTCTGAGAATTAATTTATTTTTTGTGCAATTAATATAAATTTATACCTTAGATTGCCCTAACCTATTCTATTTAATTTGGCCCATCACAATTAAATAATTTTTTTGGTAACGATTCAGATTTCCTAGTTGGGATTTTTTTAGGAATGTGATATCTGTCAAAATTTATATATTGTCGCTACAAAACGCATTCTGAAATAGTTTTACAGAGTTTAAATGAAGCGAGCGAGCAGAGAAATATGACGAAGAAAATAATATATTTATTATACTTGATCATGCTTATCCTTTTGATTATCCTCTCTATTTAAATCGTTAACGTTAGTTAAACTTGAAAATACCTTAGTTTCTTGCGTACGATTTATTGATTTCGCTTTTATTCATAATAAAATAAATATTATATTTTTGAAAATTAAAAAAAAAGATGAAAACGTTCCCGTTCGATATCCTGAAGAGGGACACTTGATTTTTAATAATTTAAATGCATTTTTTTTTAAAAAAAGTCCTACTTTCACATCCATAAATTAATATCTTTTAAAATATAATTTACTAAATAACTTTACAATGGCTTAATAAGTGGTATATTTTTTTTAAATTAGACATTTTTAGGATAGGCTAAGAGAAGAAGCTAGGAAAGAAGGGAAAGTAGCAAGTAAGAATGTAGAGCTCTTATAAGGTATTTATTTTTCAGGTCTTGCTCAATTGAAATCTTTGTCAAAGATCCGAATTTGATCCTAAAAAAATTAAAGAGGATTATTGGACTGTTGGAAGTGAAAGATATTTCAAGGAAAACGAAAAATTTTGAGCGCTTAATAAAAATGAGAAATTTTCGCTATTGAAAAAAATATTATAAGATAATAAAATAATTTTGTCAATGTCCTAATTCGGCCCAAATCAAGTTGGGCTTTAATAAAAAAACGGAAGAGATATGAAAAGTAAGGAGGGAGAAAAAAATTTCGTCTTACTATTGTTTTGAGCATTATCAACAAAACGTTCACGGTTAATATTACATTGTTGGTTGTTATTACGATTGATAGAATCATTTTCGGTGTGATTAGAATTTATGTCATTGAGCAATGGTTTATCTTTGGCCTTTATAATAGGTTTTGGTTGAATCTATTTTGATAGAGTATACATATAAAAATTACACATCATTAATTATTAAATAAAATCTTCTACTGTGTTGGGGGGGGGGGGGGTCATGTCGCAAGATGATTGAAATTTGGAATGGGGTGGACGAGGAATAAGAGAAAACAGAGGTGAGAGGGAGGTAGAGAAGATATGGATTCGAATTAGAATTTCCTTCTTTTTTTGCTATTTATGTTGATTTGGATTTCCTTTTGTTTTTTTTTGAGAGGTAGGAGGTGGATTATGATAATTTTAAGAAAGTAATGCCGTCATTCGCTAAGGGGGAGTGTAGAAGTTCCTAGATGAAGTCATCTAAACCATGCCCCCCCCTCCCCGCACCAGATAATTTTAACTAATCAAAAAAGAGTTTCTAAATGTGCTGTTATATTTCCCCAAATTACTTTTGTTTAAATTGTACTTCCTCCCCATTCAAGGAAGATATAGGGATGGTCGCTAGTCCAAAATGTATTGTTTATGAATTTAAATGTGTCCAATAATTAATAATATACTTGATTAGTTATATTAGCAATGCCCTTGCTTAAATGATTAAGATTGTGATCAGAACAAAAATTTTCGTACGTTATTGAGCTGGATATCATTCTCGTGTCCAAACCTTCGAAATAAATTTTTTTTAAATATTAATTCGATCATTTAATTCATTCATAGTGTGATAATCATAAATATTTTTAATTTTTTTTAAAGTTTTTATATCTATAATTTGAAATTTTATTTTAAAAAAATAATTAAAAACAAAATTAAAAAGGGAAGATTCGAAATAAATTAACATATTTTAATATGCTTATAGAACATGTTAGAACCAAGAGATAATCATTTTTAATTAAAACTTTCATTTTCATAATTTCGTTGGTTTAGATAACGATCTTCAGTCCTGCCGTTCCGATTCATGTGTTCGATTTTACGGTCATTTGAGATCATCATAGTTCTGGCGGGTATTTTGATGAGATTAATTCCGATGCTATTTGTAAAAATAATTATACAATTACTCATTGAAAGATCATCTAGATTTACTTCTACCATATTCTCATCGTCTTTAAAGGTTGATATTATTAACTACTAATTAATTATGAATTTAACGCAAAAATAAAGTAATCTATTTCTAATTCTTATATTTAATAGCATCGCTAATCTAGGGAGCAGCGACTTCTAAAAAGCGTAGCTGAGTCATGCGCCAAAAATAATAGGCTTAAATTGGTCAAACGGTTTTGGAGTAGACTTAAGATAGTCATTTAAAAACAAAAATTACGGGAAATTAATTATATTATGCAAGCCTAATATTATTTATATAATATCCATGTGAAGTAGAAATGTTTCTTAGCTTATGTCAAAAGTTAATTTACAATTTTAAAAAAACTACTTTTAAAATATTTAAAAAATCAAAATAATCTTGAGATTACGCTGAAAAAACATTAGACAGCCGATTTTCTAACACTCTCATCGTGCCTATTTAACAAAAAAAATTTATAGGCTCGCCAATATGTTACATACCTAAATAGTAAAATCTGGCGGCACTATTTATTTTTATATACCCCATTTTAAACATGTAGGAATGACAATATATTTTTTGGGAACCATTTATGATGACCAATGATTGCCCAGGACTTAGTGAAATAAGTTTATCACCTCTGGCTTAGATAAATTTCATGTAAATCAAAAAATGTTTCCTTAAGACTTTGAGGATTCTCATTTGAATATATAAAAAAATTTTATATACTATCCATTTAAATTAAAGGTATACGCACAACTTTGGCTAAAGTTCGCAAATTTTTTAAAGCTTAGAAATAAGCAAATTTTTTGTCTTATTCCTTAATAAAAAAATTATTACGTGCCGACAGGCTGGAAATTTGTACAAAATTATTTCAAGGGTCGAGCTGAACAAAAAAATTTTGGGCTGGAAATTCTTTTCAAAAATATACACGTGCCGGCCATGCCGGCCTCTAATTTGCATACATATATTAAAATAACTTGAGTAAAAAGATTCTCCTTCATTTATCATAAATTCATCCTTCCATGGCATGTAAACATTGAGATTCTAGGATTACCTATTTTAGTATATATAAAAAAATTTCTAATATACTTGAAGGAAAAAATATTATTACGTTTGAGAAACGATCCACTAAATTTTACTGTAATTAACTCAATGAAGGAGGGCGGGAGAGATGGAGGAAATAGGAAAGGCAAGAAGGACAGGAGAGAATAAATTGTATTGAAATATTCTTTAAAAAAAACTACAATGTATAAGAGGTCATTTATAACTCACTTTTTAATCGTAGCTTTTTCCAAAATACTAACGCTTTAGGGAAACGCCATTTTTTATATCAACTGATTCAAAAAAAAGATGAAATGTGTTCAAGATTTTTCAAGGATTTTCTTATATCTAATATTTTTATTTCTCTTCACTACTTTTAATTTTACCCCTTTTTTGCTAATTTTGATTTCTATTACGTAACATTAGGGGTTTATTACGAAGGAGTCTATGAGTGGCTAAGCCCCGTCGCTAAGAAACTTTTCGAAATTTATGGTCATGAATAAAAATTCATTTTTAAACGACTTTTATATTAAATTAATTCTCATTTTATTTTTAAAAGATATTGATTCATCATTTTTATCTTTTAAAATTAATCTCGCGTATTTTTATAATTAATAATTGATACAATTTTTCAAAATTATTTTAATATTTTTTAAAAGATTTTTTCTTCTTCATAATGATAAGGAATTTTATGTGGTAGTAATAAAAGATACAATTTTTATTTATTAAAATTCTTTTTAATTAATTCTTTTAGATGATATATGTATATTATGAAAGAAATGGAGAAATAAATGAACATACATAAGAATCTCCTATCTAATTTGAAAAAAATATAAATATTTATAATCGGAACATTTTATATAATTAGAAACCCTAAAAACTCTAAAAAAAGAATGGCTGCTTATAATAATCCTCGAGGGCTAAAACGAAATCAAGAAAGTTAAATTATTAGATTTCTGGGACTGAATACAAATACGAATTTTATGAGAGGGTTATACTTTACCATACCAATATAAAACAGGTCTATAGTTACGAAATTGATTATATCTTTTAATTAATCTTGTTTTCTAATTAATTTTTTTTTAAATAAAATATCTTGCATACCGATAGAGCCTCTAAGCCAACTGAGCCCGCCTACCTTATGATTATATTATAAGATTATCCAAATATACATTTTTAATCAATATTCCTGTTGTTGAGATCTTCAATCTATTTCTGTTTTAGTAAGAATATTAATCCAAATTGACCAATTTCTTATTGAAGAAGTAGAACTATGAATTGATACCTTCTAATAATAGGCATGGTTAGCAAAGTCCATTCACCTTGCTGGAATTTAAATGTTTCCTATGGAAGTTACTGCTTCCCACATAATTTGCTATTAAGCATACCACTTTTACTTCTAAAATTTATAATACTTGAAATATTTTCATCATAGAAAATGGCCTAATTCTATTTATATCAATTTTTCTTTTTCCAAACATATCAGGTTTTAAGAGTTACTTATCCGGTCAATTGACCATTATATTGACTAAACTACTTGACCAGATAACTGAACGACTTGCCAACCCTGGTTATTTTACTACCAGACCTCACTTAAATTTAGAAATATCATTTTGTCAGCGGTTTCATAGTGAAGTCGATATCGATATTATCAAACATGTCTTTTTTAACTGATTGATACAATTTTAATTAATAACTCAAAATCTAGATTATTTGTAATTGGTAATCAATTACTTATTTTTTAAAAAATAATTTACGTATTCAATAATCAATTCTTGCTTAAATTAATTATGCCCAACCGTTTACTGTGTAGGATTCTTATTATTTTAATTGTATGATAAAAATTAGGATAATATAATAATATTATATAGATAAATTTAATAATTTTAGTAATTACACTGTTTTTTATCAAAAAAAATAAATTCTTTAATAAAATAGTATTTAATTTGGCTATATGATAATTAAAACAAAAAAATATATATTTGTTCTCGTTAAATTACGATAAAATAATGCAAATTGTTGAGAAATTAAGATAAATCGATATTTGAAAGAAAACCTAAATATTATCTATACTATAAATAAAATAAATAATGTAATATTCTGTAAATTCTTTACCGTTACGATTAGAAAAGATTTAATAGAGAAAAAATGAAGGATCTGTTCTGGAAATCTTGTAATAAAATAATAGGAACGGCCGACAATTAATTCATTATTTTAAGTGTTAAGAGATCATTTTTTAAAAAAAATTTAATATTTTACATGGGTAAGATGTTTTCTAAAAAAACTATAATTATATATCTTTATGTTAGCAAGCATGAAATGTTTCATAAATTTAGAAATTATGTGTATATGTCTCGGAGGTTTAGCAAAACGATAAAACTAAAATCATTTATAACACGGGTTTGACCGGAATCATATTTCAACATGGAGTAACCTACCTATGAATTTAGATATTTTGCCGTAAATTTTTGACTTACATCAATTTTTATATTAGATTATTCATATAAATTTTAAAAATAAAAAAATCTTCCTAAGAAATAGTCTGAAATTAAAGATAAGTACTCTACGCATGAATACGATTCCGGTAAAATCGGATCTTTCAAAATAAAAAAACGTGCATTATAGATGATTTCAGTTTTTAAAATTTGATAAAAAAAAACTGGGTTTCTCAAGTATAGTCCTGAATTACTAAACTCCTACATCATATTACAATTATATCCATATATTTATATAAAACTTAAACATATATTTTTAATTATTTCACTCTATAAAGGTTTAGATATAAATTAAAACCCTTTTTGGACCTCTAAACTAGAATAAAATCATTCGAAGCAACTCCTCCCGAAGACTTTCCTGGACCGTTTTACGAATTAGATTTAAATTTTATATCGAGTCAAATGGATTCATTCACTTATTCAATCAACTTAATTTGTAATAGTTCAAAATCAAATCAAAATTCTCAACATTAATGATCTGGCATGGCGAAAACAAATGAGGGGTGCATGGTGAATTAAAAATAATAACTATCAATAAATGTGGATTAAATAGTAAAATATTTCCATAAGTGATTTAATTATGTATAATTTAAATAAATTTAATTCTTTTGTTGTACGGTCGCGTAACGGATCGATCCCGATCTTAAAGATCTAAATTAAATATCTTGGAAGAGATAAATCTTGATAAGATTATTTTAAAAAAAAAAGAAAAATAAATTGGATGAGAGAAATATAAAAATTTAGTTTTCGATATTATAGTTGTGATGATAAATAAATTAACATGTGCAACTTCTAGATGAGTTTACTAAGGCCAATACACTGGATATCAGGTGTTAACAGAACTATAAACTAGATTTTAAATTATTACTAATTGTCATTAAGAGATTTTTTTAATTATTCCTATTCAATTTACGAATATAGAGAAGCAGCACATCTGGTCAAGGGGCATTTGCAACTCAACTCGTTTTGAAATTAATTAAGCTTAAAATCTGAAATTTAATTGATAAATAATTATAATATACAGAGATTTACCAGATCCGATTTGTTCACGATCAGGATTCTTAAAATTTTTGAGCGCCCGGGCCCGCTATCGGATCTTATAAAAAAATATATAGAATTCCCTTATACGCAGAATGTAATACTTACACTTATTAATACATCTTTAGTAGTAGTAAATAAAAATAATTGACAGTATTCAATATTTTATTTATTTAGAGATCATTTTATGTGATATAAATAACTTGAGTAATTTGTTTAGTAATTTTACGTATTTTAAACAAAAGAATGTTAAAATAATATATTTTTGATTTATAAATCTTCCTTATTTTTAAAAAAAAATGCGTTAATAAAATATTTTTAAAAAAGAGGTGAGCGGAAGATAATTCATCGGAAATTTTATAAAAAATTATGGGAAGGATTCATAAAAATAGCCGGTTTTGAACCGGTATTTTAAGATAACCGACCCAATCCAGTAAAAGGAGAACTGGTATCTTATCTGGTACATCTTTAATATACACTTATCGATAAAAAAATTACTTCCCTTACCTCAACTCATAATTTTGTACTAAAAAAAATATTTTTATACCTTAAAGGTAACTATATATTTTATATATCAAATCCTTCTTTTAAGAGCAACATAAATAAATATATTAAATCAAACGCAAACCATATTCCATAAGATTGAGTTTTATATCCCAAAATTAACTATCAATAATTTTTGTCATATGGACTTGGACACGTCAGATATAACTTTTTATACAATATTTTATCATAAAAGTTTCCCTAAATCCTTATTAGTAAAAGGATATTTTATTATTAAAATACAATTATTTTTATATGATTTTATGTGTAATCTTACGAGCCCTGTTTTTATGTCATGCACACCCTGTTTTAAGAAGTTTTTATAGATATTGATGTGGAAGTCCCTACATGGCGGGACCAGAAACTATATATTATATTAAATATCTAATCGAAAATGTGCAAAAAAAATTAACATTCATAATACGGTGTTCCAATATTTGTTGCCCAAAAATCTATGGATATTGAACGTTTTGACAAAAAACACGAAAATGTAAAAAAAAATATAAAGAAAATACTTGGCCAAAATCACGAAAATGAAAAAAAAATAATATTGTGATAAAAACTTCCAATTTCTGAGCAATGATTGCAAAGATATTTGGCATCTTTAATTAATTAATAAATGTATATATATTTACATATTTAGAATCCTAATTAAAATATACCGATTACTATAAATTTTTCTAAAATTAATTTAAAATATTTTTGTAAAATTTTTTGAAAAAATATATCAATTTATATATATTCTGAATCATCATCAAATTTGCAGTTTAATGATGTATAATACCGATATATAATATTTAGTTTTTGAAAAAAAAATTTTTATTAAAATTAATTTGTACAATCTAATTTGCAGTTTTTTTAAATCATGAATTACGGCTTTGGCGAAAACATTTCCAAAACATATTTTGAAAATCGAAATTATAAACGAATGCATTACTTTAATTAACCATATAAATATTCAGCTAGAATTAATTTAGACCTAATATAAATAAAGTATTCACCCCCCCCCCCCATGATATATATTCATAATTCTAATTCCCTTAATAATCGACTATAAATGTATCATCAATCTACTATATGTAACCAAAAATTTTAATGGATTTCAGTTGCAATATTATATTTTTTATCCTTTTGTCGAAATTCGTTGGTGTATTCGATATATATGTCAATAAAATTTAGATTAATAAATAAACATGAGAATTACACTATTAGATTTGATTCTTTAAGAAATTACATGATTTACACTTGCGTTTTTATTACAATAATCTTATTTAAACAGTTAAATATTCTTATTGTTAATTAATCATCCATCACCACATAAGAACATGATGGAATGATATAATATTTAATTTTTTAAGAGCCCTCTAAAATATAAATAATTATATTTCAGTATATTTAGCTAAAATAGACGCCTTAATTATCTTTAAATATAAATAAGAATACTGTTTAATAATAGATTTTAGTAATATAATATTATACGATTTTTAAAAAAAATCTATTGATATTATAATATGTTTTTAAACATTTAAATTACCTAATTTAACGAATTGACCTCTCAACGGGGTGAATTTAAAAAAGTTAACGTATGAATTTACATTTCTTTATTAATTATATTTGTGATTTTGGTGTACATATTTATTAAAAATATTTTATTTTAGCTAATTTAATCGAAAATAATTCTTTCATTCATTCTATCGGCTTTACAACACTACAAAGTTGTAATTATTGTAAGATTAAAATATATCAATACCGATTTTAAATTTCCCTTGTTTTAATTAACATTTTATCTATATTAGAAGTGAATTATTTCCTCTATTGCTAAAAATATCTGAAATATTTATAAAGAAAATTTTTTTAAGTGCTAATTTTATTATACAAATATATATATCGATATATCATTAGATTGCAAATGAAAATATAGAATTATCAAACTGCTAATTTTATTGTACAAATATATATATCGATATGCATATCATTAGATTGCAAATTTTACGGATATTCTAAATATATATATATTTTCTATTTTATTATTTTTTTATAAAAAAATTTTTTTTTAACTAAATGTTCAATTATCTAATTGCAATCTATGCTCAAAAACTAGAAATTTTTATCAAAAATTTAATTTTTTTCATTTTCGTGATTTTGGCCAAATATTTTTGGTAATATTATGGTTTGTGAGCCATATTTACCATTGGCTTCTTTTATTTATTTATCTGTCATTTGGTTGTTTGCATTTTATTTATATATTTATTTTTAAATATTTTTATGTTGAATGATATTTTTATTATCGATAACCATTAGTTGTTCATTTTTACACATAATTTTAAATATATTTTTGTTGAATGATATTTTTATTATAGAAAATTATTTAGCTATTTTTTTGTAAAAAGATAAATAAAAATGAGATGGGCAGGATAAAATTTAAATAAAAGGAAGGGCCAATTGGGTAAAAATATCTTATGGATATAAAGATGCCTTGCAGATTTAGATTCCTTTGATTCGTTCACAATGGACTTAAGATTATGGTTTGTGAATCATAACTACCATTGGCTATCTTTTATTTATTTATTACATATGATTGGTTTATTTTCTTATTTATTTTTTTTAATAGATTTTTTTGTTGAATGAATGATATTTTTATTATCGAAAACCATTGGTTTTTCATTTTTACACATATATTTTTTAAAAAATAATTTTTTTAATAGTGAAAATAAATGTTTAAAATATTTACTTGAAAATAATATTTTTTTGTAAACCCGGTTAATAGAAACATAAATATCCAGCCCATAGAGCGTCTTTGGCGCGACCTCAAAACAAAATATATTAAATCTGAGAAGTTCCAGTTTATAAAAGATTACATAGCAACAAATATTTATTTAAAGAAGAGAGAAAATATAATCTAATCTATTGAATATCTTCAAAGAGTTTTAGAAGATATTATTCAAGCATTTCCTATTATAAATATATAGAATATATATTTTGTTATACATTTTTATATTTAATTTGAAAAAGAATATCAAGTATTTAATTATATGCATATGTATTTTTATGAAAGAAATTTTTTTTTTTAATTTTCCTATTTTTTTTTACATTTTCGTGATTTTGGCCGAAGATAGAAAACGTTTTCTATATTTCTCGATTTTGGGGTATAACCGTTCCGATAATACTCAAATATTGTGCAAAAAAAATAAACTTGTGATAGGGGAAAAATGAGAAAATTATGCGATAAAATGGTTTGTATAATTATTTAAAAGATCAGGAGTACATCACATTTCGGATCATATGAATATGACTCCAGACAAAACTCTTTTTACCAGGGCTGAGAACCCGGTCTCTAAACCTTTCAACTCTAGATTTTGACCCAAATCAGGGCCGTAACCACGGGGAGGCCCCCCAAAATTTAAAGTCCCAATTAAAAAAATAAATTTTATTCACCATTAACGATTAAATCTAAATGAAAATGGAGCAAAATTTTTAGAAAATATTATTTATAATTAATACAAATTAATAAACAAGTTGTGAAAATCTGAACATAATTTTATTCGTTATATTTTTTGTGAATAAATCCAAGAAAATTTAATAGAAATCATTCATTTCCAAATGTCTTTCTGCTGAAAGCATTACTAATTGTATTTTAAAGCAACTTAATGAATTAAATATCAATTCATCAAATATAATAAGCCAGGCCTATATGGTGTGCAAACATCATATCTGACTCAAATGGAGAAGTATAAATCCTGCTTTAAAAATAAAATAATAAAAGTTCCTTGTATACATTGCTACAACCAGAAGTTGCATCTTGTGGTTCAAAATTGGTATAATAATATTGTTATTATTTTTAATTATCTAATACATTGTATAATTTTTTTAGGCGTTTTAACGTAATAGACCATGCTCTTAAGAGACTTTTAGACCAGAGGTGGACTGTCATTTATACGCATCTCGTATCATTGATAAGAATCTTGAAACTATTGATCAGGGTTGTCAGGTTTCCCCACCCCATCATCGGAAGACTCCCGCAATTTTTTAGTTTACACGCTGACATCTCATTCCACAAAACTACCGCAATAAGAAATATACGGCAATTTTTAAATTTCTCCCGCACAATTTTTTTTTTAGAATTTTAACGTTTTTAATATATAAATAATAATTTTGAGAAACAATAATTGATTATTTTGCCAAATCACAATCCCGGACGAAGGCCGGCACTTATTTTTTTTAGCAATTTTTATATTTCTACCACAATTTTCATTTTTCACCCGACCAAATTTCTCCCGCAATTTGAAAATTTGTTGGCGAAGCATTATTTTATTTTTCTAATAGAACTCTTAACTCAGAAGTTTCCACTCATAATTCAATCGAGGATTTTAGTCTTTTATCTTAATGCATTAATATAAATAACATTATATTGTCCATTTTACCCTCAAAAATCATCAAGGGTACTAAAACCCCTACAAATCTTCAAGATTTTTTAGTCGATACCAATTTGTAGTTTGTGTGAAAAGAACTTCAATTGGAGATTTTTAAAAAAGAATTATATAAAATTATTGATTACTTTGTAGATCATTTTTTAGATATATTTACACATGATGATTATAATCTTCTATCATATTTTAATTCATTGTCCTTTCTTGACTCTGATTATTTTATATCAGATAAAATGAACCTATTAGAATCATTACCAAACTTAAATATGGAAACATTACATCATGAAATAAAAATAGTAAAAGGATTATTAGCTGCATTAGTTAAAGAAAAATAATAAATATCGTAAATATTATGTATAAAAAATAACATCTCGCATTTAAAGAATTTTATAAATGCTACTCAGCATCCATCATCATGTTCGTTCTCTATACTGAAGAGTATTTATTTATGTTGAAATATAAAAATAAAAATGTCGTTTACAAATTTTTAACATAAATAGAAAAAAAATTTTATGGGTTCTACTATTAGTTTTATTTCCTAAAAATATCCACCCCCCCCCCAAGTAAATAGTGGACCCTCCCAGCTGGAAATTCCTGGCTACTGCCCTGACCTGAATCCTTTTTCAAGATTTATGGTTAAATATTATTTTTAATTAAAAAACATTTTTTTCGTGAAAATTTTTTTCCCCTGAGAAATCACTTTTATATTGTGCAGCATATATTTTAGAGTTGGCTATTAATGATCTTTAAAAACAAATTACACGAGCACGATTATTGACAGAAGCGAGAGAAGTTTAAAATTTGAAGTTCGACAATTGTTAGCGAATAAAATCATTGAAAATGTCTATGGCAATAATAAATTGCACAAGATCGTCATCGGTTGATGATATGCTGAATCTATTGTTAGTTGAAGGATGCCTCTAGATTTTTTAGGTATTTTGATAAAATGTCGCTTAGTATTGGAAAATTTTTTTTAGAGCATATGAGACTTAGGGGAAAATCTTAGATAATAGCAATCTTTAAGCTTAACTATTTAGAACCCTAACATCAAGTTCTGTTAAATATTGGCCAGAAACAGGGTTCTAAAGCTATTTTAATGGAATTACGAGGAAAAACAAAAGTTATTACATTGTAAATAAATACATCAACATTAACTTCATCTCTTTGATACTTCTGCTGATTTATGATAAAATAGCTTCTAGATAAATATAATAAAATTTAGAGAACATGAAAGTGAACAGGCCCAAATCAATTCAAAATCAGAAATGTTCTCACCCACAGGATTAATAAGGATATAAATGTTCTTGACTTATGGCAAGATAATAGTTCAATTTATCCCGAATTATATACATTGATAAAAATTGTTCTAGTTGTTCCAGCAACACAAGTACATTTTATATATTATATTAAATTTAATGAATTATTAGGGTTAGTGTTGAACGAACATTTTTATCACATCATTAAAAAATATGATCAGACTTACGTGGATGTCTTAAGAGATGATATTTTGGGGCATGATAATTCGCATAAATAATAAAATTTTAAATGCAAATATAATATTCTTTTTTAAATATCATTACAATACAATTTAATATATATAATTTCTATAATCAAAACATGATCGTTTTCGTATCTTCCTAATGTATTTAAAATTTAAGGAGACTATATAGTGTAATGTTATTTTTTTGATCTCTACGAGAGTCGAACCACAAACCTCCCGCTTCAAAGTCGTATGTTTTAAGCATGCACCAACTTGAATATAATTAAATTTAAAATATTAATTATATATATATTAATTAATAGCCGATATTTTTAAAATTCTGCCATTTATTACCATACCAGCTGACGGGGTTTAAGGGTAATTATTTAATTTGCGTGTATGGTACTAAATATACTTTATTAATAAATTTTATATAAATATTAAAATTTAGGAGAAAAAGAGGTAAAATTGTTGCAATGTATACCGTAAGCATGTATTAGAAATATCAAAATTTAAATTTGTGATGGAAATCATATTGGATAAAATTTAAAATAGAGATGCTTTAAGATTTTTGAATTTTAAATATGGGTTATACATTGGCCTGAAAATATTTTCTTGCAGACATAGCCAGGCCTGATCAAAAAACCAAGTCCCATGCAACTTTCATCTTCTGATTTTATTTTTAAATGAATTATGACTTTTATATATTTTATTTCAGTTCTCAACTAACAAAATTATTTTGGCCTTTGGCGGGCTTGAGAAAATTTTCCCAACAATATGGTTTTTAGAGATTTACTTATCTCCAGGCTTGGGGAAAAATTACAAAATTATTTAAAATTTTAAAATTTTCAAGCATATCTATTTTAAATTTTACCCATGATTTCTATCGCAAATAAAAAATTAAATTTAAGATATTGTTATTAAATTACAATAGAAATAAATGGAATATAAAATTAAATTTAAGACATTGTTATTAAATTTCAATAGAAATAAATGGCAAAATTTTATGAAAGTTGCATGGGACTTGGTTTTTTGATCAGGCCTGGCTATATCTGCAAAAAAACTTTCAGGCCAATGTCTACCCCATATTTAAAATTAAAAAATTTCCAAGCATCTCTATTTTAAATTATATTGAATATGATTTCTACCACAAATTTAAATTTTATTCTAAATATAAAATTAAATTAAAGACATTATTATTAAATTACAATAGAAATAAATGGCAAAATTTTGGGAAAGTTGCATGGGACGTGGTTTTTTGATCAGGCCTAGCGGGGTCTGCAAAACAAAATTTGAGGCCAATGTCTAGCCCATATTTAAAATTCAAAAATTTTGAAGAATCTCTATTTTTAATTTTACCCAATATTATTCCTATCACAAATTTAAATTTTGATATTTCTAATACCCTTAATACTCACGGGTTACATTGCAACAATTTACCTCTTTTTCTCCTAAATTTTAATATAAAGCATATTTAGTATCATATACACAAACTAACTAATTACCCCTAAACCCCGTCATTCTTGACGGGTTATTAGCTAGTTATAATATAATTATGATAAAAAATTATTTTTTGTGGTGAATAATGGATAAAATAAAATAAATTATATAAAAAAACTGTTTCTGTTATTTAAAATTAAAACAAATTTTGTAAGTCTCATCCTTGTTTTTAAGATCTTTGAACCATAAAATTTTATTAATAAAAGTTACAGGGAAACTTGTACTGAATTACAGTGCCAATAAGGTTTTACTTTTCCAAAAAAAAATCTGGAAAACCTTTATTTACAAAATCCTAGAACGGGAGCTAGCTCTATTTAATAGATAAATGAAAATAGGGATTAAAAAAATTTCAGTGAGCAATTCGACCCAAAAAAAATCTTCAGTAAATTAGAGAATGGGGGGGGGGGGTTAATGTTCATGTTCAGGAGTCAGGAAGATACTTATTAAACTTCAAAATCGGATATGTTAAAAAAAAAATTAATTCACAACTAAAAAAATTAACACATGAACGGAATTTTTAAGATTTATTAATTATAGGCCAAAATCAGAAACAAATTAATTTATATTTGATTCTTAATCTGCGATTATTCCAAAATATTACTATCTTCACTACATTATATAACTTTACAATTGATTGTAACTACCTATTGTACTACACTAAAAAACTTGAAATAAGGTATTTAAAAAATATTAGAATGACATTCTGAAATCTCAGAAATCAAACTTTGGACAAAAAGATACTTAACATAAATTAAACCTTGTTTTAAATATCAATAAATTGAGGATTTTTTTATCTTAAATGAGATGGTTAACTTGATATAACTTTAATAATCGAAATAAGGATATTTTTAAAAAAAATTAGATAATTCCTATACTTTTTAATGAGCTATAACCATTATGGCTATAAGAATTTAAAATGATAATATACTCCTTATAAATTTATATTTTAACAATAAAAAAAAATTCTATTCTAAATAAATAATCTCTTTATTGTTACATTTATTATCAACAAAATCGTAGAAGTAAAAAATAATTAGCCATTATAAAAGATTGTATATCCTATACCTAACCTATACAATCGATCTGAAAACTATCTGATACCTTTCATTAAGAATTATAAATATTAAAAGTTTTTTTTACAGAAAATTTACAAAAAATTATAAACTTTAAAAAATAAAATATATAGAAAGTAAGTATGATGGAGAAGGTAAGGGATGTTGAAGATGGGCTTTTATAAGAGGGAAATAATAAAAATGCTTTTTTGTATAACAAAATTAGTGGACCATTACCAAATTAATAATAAAAATAATTTTTAATTGATAAGAAATATAAATTTATTACCATTTTTTATTTATTTATTGTATATTGTGGCTATAGTTTTTAAAGAGGTTTATTTTAGAAATTAAGTTTTTCTTGTGTTTATTATTTTTTATGTATTTACAATAAAAATAATTTCAGCATGTGGTCAAAAAAAGGGACAAACAATATAATATGATATAAAATAAAATAAAAGTGAATGTAATATGAAAGAAAAACTATTATATTCATCATTCTTGTGGGAATAATTTTAAAAAAAGCCATTTTTTAAGCATTTTAAAAATTTTGTCCGATTGTAGACTTAAAATGCTTTTTCTAAAGGTGAGCTTGAATTTAAAATTATCATCTGATTGTTGATTAAAATTTCATAAAATATCTATATCTAAATGCAATTATGCCAACTAAGAAATATATATAAAGTCTAAACCTTGCCGCTAAGACTATTACAAATCTTTTTGAATTAGCACACCCATTATCTTTGAACTTAATCCTAAATTTCGGTCTCCATCGCCAAACAAGTATGCTTTCAGAGGTTGCCAGACCTCTCGATTTTTTTAAAAATATATGTATCGCGAGTTTTTTTTACAGAACATAAAATTAATCTAATCAGAAACTTAAGCCCATTTTTTATTTTT